CAACAGCAGACAACAAGATTACCTATTGAAATACAGTCAAGATGTTTTAAAAAGATTCCGAACTTTGCCGCGTTCCATCCTCTTGTAGAAATGAGCGTCCACTAGTAATGAACGGCAGATCACTCGTTTGTTGTCGTCTCTTTGCTGGCTTAATGACCTGTACGATGACCTGAATTGATGACCTGTATTATGCGCCTTTCGTTTAAAGTGACTACACTGTTCAATCGACAGTTAGAAATCGATGGAAAATCGATTATTCTGTTGCACTTGTAGCATCTTTTTGTCTTGTTGCGCTGTGAATAACAATCCAACGAACGATTTAAAATCTTTGCGAACTAAAGGCCCCAGTTATGGATGTTTTTGTAATAACTCATTCATAGCAGAAAAGATTTTTATGAAAATGGGTTCTGATTGAATATAATATTGTTCCTATTGCTTGGTGAAGCAAGAATTTACTTAACTTTGACTAACGTAAATGTGGCAGCCCTAGTCCGAAGTTTGGAATGACTTGAGACGAAAACTAAGGCACCCGATCAAACGTAGAAAGTATGTGTGTGGAACAAGGAAAGGCGAAGTTCCACGGAATGAAAATCAGGTGATGGCACGCAGTGCCGTCACACACGCCACCCTCTGGATTCATTTGTGCAAGAGCGGTTTTTCTTTTTTATATTTGAAAGAAAGTTAAGATATACATAGACGATAGATTATTTTCTTGATTAATTGATTGTTCAATTTGATGATCGTACATCGCGTGTTCTATTTTTCACATAGAAAGAAATTTGTTTGTGGATTTGCAAAATGGCATATGGTATCCTGACCACCATTTTGTTTCAACATGAAATGTATTCGATCTTCAATTTTATAATGTGCAATTGATTCTAAATGACACATCATGATTAAATCAACTGTTAACTTCTCATATCCAATTGTCAATTGTATTAACTTTGTCTCATTGTTTGTATGGCACATATAAAATAAGCAACTGTTTTCTAACATCATATGACATGCTATTGGTTGGCGAGTTTTATTACACGATTTCAATGGTTTAACGCTTAAAATCGTAACATTAAGTAAATTTGGGAATGGCAATAATTTCCAATTCTCATCGACAATTGGGGACACGTATTTCATGGGTGATTGCGTTTTTAAAACATCTTGACTGTATTTCAATAGGTAATCTTGTTGTCTGCTGTTGAAACACCATCGTTTATCATCCAACCAGTCACGTTTTTGACAGTTCTTGAATCCTTTTAAATCACAGTCACGTTTATAGTACATTTCTAAACCCGGAATTGTCATATGCCCGCCGATCGTAATTGTTTGATTCAATGACAACAGTGACTTGTACGTATGAAACATTCCTATTAATTGTATCCGTCGAGCTGCTGATATTTTTGATTCACACAGCGTTCGTCTATCCTTACTGGCACTGCATGAATTTGCACT